AATACAGAGTGGGGAGGGGATCAGACCACCCCCCTTCACTTGTACAGATCATTAGTTCGCAGTAAACTAGATTATGGCTCCATTGTCTACGGTGGAGCCTGTAAAAGCAATTTAGAAAAATTAGACTCTATCCACCACCAAGGACTGAGGCTCTGCCTGGGAGCTTTTAGGACCTCTCCGGTAGACAGTCTATATGCAGAGGCCAATGAACCTTCCCTTGAACAACGCCGCACTAAACTCTCACTGCAGTATATCACTAAATTACGTTCAAATGAGCCCAATCCAGCATACAATTGTGTTTTCAACCCACTCTATGAAAACTTATTTCCTAAACTGCCAAGCCTGGTTCCACCACTTGGAATCAGGATCAAACCACACATAACTGCAGCTAAAATTGATCTCGACATCATTGCACCATACCGACTTCTGTCCTCACCACCATGGCAAATGGTGAAACCACAGGTCGATCTTACCCTCATCAAACTCAAAAAGTCTGAAACAAATCCCTTGGTGTTCCAACAGGAATACAACCAGTTACGTTCGAAGTATAACACTCACAGATCCTTTTTCACAGACGGATCCAAGGACGATGGCCAAGTTGCCAGCGCTACAGTCATCGGAGCCAAGACTGCCTCCTCTAGGATCCCCGACAACAGTTCCATTTTCATCGCTGAAGCCAAAGCTTTCTTCTCAGATTTGACCTACATTCAACAGCAAAATCAGTCCAAAAACTTCATCGTATTTACAGATTCATTATCCTGCCTTCAAGCACTTCTAAACGTGAATTCAAGTCACCCAATCATCCTGGACATATTAGAACTGTACAACGACCTTTCTACTGGCCAATATGACATCATCCTCTGCTGGTTGCCGGGTCACGTCGGCATAGCAGGTAACACTAAGGCCGATGCTGCAGCAAAAGCAGCTCTCGAAAAGCCCCTATCTCCACTGCTAATCCCGTACAGTGACTTCAACCCACTATCAAAAGCTATACTCGGGACCTGATGCAAAAGGTGGGACACTCAAGTAGGAAGAAACAAACTCCATGAATTGAAGCCAACAATCGGTTATACCTACTTGGGTTGTCAGTCAAGACGCGATGAGGTAATTTTACGACGATGTCGTATTGGCCACAGTCGATTTACACATGACTATCTGCTGGAAACGGATGGGGATGGACCCCTCATGTGTGTCTCTTGCGATGAGGTGTTCACCGTCAAGCATATTCTGCTGGAATGCGTGGACTTATCGCCTGCAAGGGACGCACATTATGATGCAACAAACCTAAAAGATCTGTTCTCACGCGTGAGCGCACATCTGATACTGAACTACCTGAGGGAAGTTGATCTGTATCATAAATTGTAACTGTGAAATGTAACAACCATAAATTGTAACTATGAAATGTAACAAACCGCCTGCCTTTAAATTTGATGCTATGACTTTTTCTGCTTTTGAATGACAATGTAATCAATAAATGTCTTTGAAATAAAACTCATTTCGAGTATGTACTTGCAATGTTTACGAATGCAAACTTGTTCTCGTCACTATATGGCTGGAATAATGCCGATGTGACGTAAAGCCCAACCCAGCCCAACCCAACCTATGTTCATCAATACACATATCACAACTATGTTCATGACCACACATATCACAACTATGTTCATGACCACACATATCACAACTATGTTCATGACCACACATATCACAACTATGTTCATGACCACACATATCACAACTATGTCCATAACCACACATATCACAACTATGTTCATGACCACACATATCACGACAATGTTCATGACCACACATATCACAACAATGTTCATGACCACACATAGCACAACTATGCTCATCACCACACATATCACAACTATGTTCAGAAACACACATACCACAACTATGTTCATGACCACACATATCACCAATATGTTCCTGACCACACATATCACAAAAATATTCATGACCACACATATCACAACTATGTTCTTGACCACACGTGTCACAACTATGATCATGACCACACATATCACAACTATGTTCATGACCACACATATCACAACTATGTTCATGACCACACATATCACAACTATGTTCATGACCACACATATCACAACTATGTTCATGACCACACATATCACAACTATGTTCATGACCACACATATCACACATATCACAACTATGTTCATGACCACACATATCACAACTATGTTCATGACCACACATATCACAACTATGTTCATGACCACATATCACAACTATGTTCATGACCACACATATCACAACTATGTTCATGACCACACATATCACAACTATGTTCATGACCACACATATCACAACTATGTTCATGACCACACATATCACAACTATGTTCATGACCACACATATCACAACTATGTTCATGACCACACATATCACAACTATGTTCATGACCACACATATCACAACTATGTTCATGACCACACATATCACACATATATCACACATATCACAACTATGTTCATGACCACACATATCACAACTATGTTCATGACCACACATATCACAACTATGTTCATGACCACATATCACAACTATGTTCATGACCACACATATCACAACTATGTTCATGACCACACATATCACAACTATGTTCATGACCACACATATCACAACTATGTTCATATCACCACATGACCACACATATCACAACTATGTTCATGACCACACATATCACAACTATATGTTCATGACCACATATATCACAACTATGTTCATGACCACATGTACATATCACAACTATGTTCATGACCACACATATCACACATATCACAACTATGTTCATGACCACACATATCACAACTATGTTCATGACCACACATATCACAACTATGTTCATGACCACACATATCACAACTATGTTCATGACCACACATATCACAACTATGTTCATGACCACACATATCACAACTATGTTCATGACCACACATATCACAACTATGTTCATGACCACACATATCACACATATCACAACTATGTTCATGACCACACATATCACAACTATGTTCATCACCACACATATATGTTCATATCACACATATCATATGTTCATGACCACACATATCACAACTATGTTCATGACCACACATATCACAACTATGTTCATGACCACACATATCACAACTATGTTCATGACCACACATATCACAACTATGTTCATGACCACACATATCACAACTATGTTCATGACCACACATATCACAACTATGTTCATCACCACACATATCACAACTATGTTCATGACCACACATATCACAACTATGTTCATGACCACACATATCACAACTATGTTCATGACCACACATATCACAACTATGTTCATGACCACACATATCACAACTATGTTCATGACACATGTTCATGACCACACATATCACAACTATGTTCATGACCATGTTCATGACCACACATATCACACTATGTTCATGACCACACATATCACAACTATGTTCATGACCACATATCACAACTATGTTCATGACCACACATATCACAACTATGTTCATGACCACACATATCACAACTATGTTCATGTTCATGACCATGATCACACATATCACAACTATGTTCATGACCACACATATCACACATATCACAACTATGTTCATGACCACACATGTCACACATATCACAACTATGTTCATGACCACACATGTTCATCACACATATCACAACTATGTTCATGACCACACATATCACAACTATGTTCATGACCACACATATCACAACTATGTTCATGACACATATCACAACATGTTCATGACACATCCACAACTATGTTCATCACCACACATATCACAACTATGTTCATCACCACACATATCACAACTATGTTCAGCTATGTTCATGACCACACATATCACAACTATGTTCATCACCACACATATCACAACTATGTTCATGACCACACATATCACAACTATGTTCATCACCACACATATCACAACTATGTTCATGACCACACATATCACAACTATGTTCATGACCACACATATCACAACTATGTTCATCACCACACATATCACAACTATGTTCATGACCACACATATCACAACTATGTTCATGACCACACATATCACAACTATGTTCATCACCACACATATCACATCACACATATGTTCATGACCACACATATCACAACTATGTTCATGACCATATCATCACAAACTATGTTCACACATATCACAACTATGTTCATGACCACACATATCACAACTATGTTCATCACCACACATATCACAACTATGTTCATCACCACACATATCACAACTATGTTCATCACCACACATATCACAACTATGTTCATCACCACACATATCACAACTATGTTCATGACCACACATATCACACATATCACAACTATGTTCATCACCAGACATGTAACAACTACGTTCATGACCACACATATCACTACTACCAGTGGTATTAGAGCCAGTTCTCTTAACATAGAAACCAAATAACTACTGCTACTATTACAATTAGACCACTTCGAACCTTACAGTCTAATCGGACTATCCTGCAATCGATACACTTCGTCTCGCACCCGTGATTGTCCGGGTTAAAATTGATCTTCAGTAACTCATGCTTGTCGTTAACGGCGACTAACGGGATCGGGTGGTCAGGCTCGCTGACTTGGTTGACACCTGTCATCGTATCCCAATCGATGCTCATGCTGTTGATCACTGTATTGTCTGGTCTAGGCTCAATTATTTACAGACCTCCGCCATATAGCTGGAAAATCGCTGAGTCTGGCGTAAGATTAAACTCATTCACTAACTCCTCGTCCTGCGCTCTCCTGATGTTGCTGGAATATTGCTACAAATGGTGTAATTACTCACCCATTCATGCTTGATTAAAGTATGAATATGCATTTATGCATGTGCTTACCTATGAATTTATGAAAACACTGTAAATGCCACATGATGAAGTTATGACGATGATCCCATTATGTATATTTTGAACAGACTGTCAAGAGGGTGCTCTACAAAATGATTGTTCCCGTTACAACATCTGTTTCAACACGCCCAATGGCACCACCCTCTTCCAGTGTGGCGAGGACACCTACTATCACAACGGATTGCGAGTGTGCGTCCATCCTTACGAGTATCCGGACCTGCCACAAGAACAGGGATGTACCTTCAACTCCCGTTAACCGCAGCCACAACTTCAGCATCTACGTCCACAACAACTACAGCATCTACCGTGCAAGCAACTATCTTGTTGCCTATGACAAGTGTTTACAACATGAGGGGAGATTTAGTATTAACGATGTTCTGATAAATGTAATGATAACATTTTCATAAAAACATAAAAATACTGGGACAAATGAGCAATAAAATGTAAAGAAAAGTCGTTTCTTTCTGATTTTGTCTGACTATTCACCAGACATTGTTGATGCATTTCTAATAAGGTTGAGGTCGGGCGATTCGGAAAGCCATTGAAACACTGTAATGTTTTCATTCTGAAGATACTTAATAGTGACATGTGCTGTGTAGGGCCTGGAACAACTCCCTCTGGTGGTCAAAGATGGGAACCATGTGAATCCTTTAGATTACGTCTGTGTACCGAATAACAGTTACATTTCCCTGAAGGCACACATTTCTGCGTGTAAGATATGGCTCCCCACAACATGACACTTTCACCACACTACTGCCCAGCCTCCAGGCGTCCATTGGCATTGTTTCGATTTACAGATGTGAGTTGCAGTATAACGATATTCTTTCATCTAGCAAATAAATGCCAATAACAGTTTAAAAGCAAAGCGGCCTTATACAGGCAGTGTCCCTACTCACGATTCCTCAGAACTACACGTGCATATTGTGAACCACGTTTTCTCCATGACATTTTCATGCAAGTTGACTCTTTCCAATGTAAACGTCTCAATTAAGCTCAGTCAGTCACTCCTAAATACTGTGCTTGATGCCAAGACCAAATTAGCTTCCACCACTAATATTCTCTACGGTCTAACCTAAGCTACGATTTCGGTCGACGACATGCTCAGTGAAATCACGTCAAGCATTGTGCTTATACATGTCAAAAATGTTCGGAATAGTGGAATAATCGAGATAACTCCTTGTCCATATGGTATCGGTAAATGGAAATGATACAATCGTATTCGCTATGGATCAGGTAATCAGATGTTAATGGTTCTTATGTGATTGGATTTGGCACAGGAGTTACTATGGCCTGGTATAATCCTGGCACAATGAGCTCGTGTATTGCCATCATGGAAGATGAAACTCATGTCGGTCCGTCATTGTGATACCACCTGACACTATTACGGATCCAGACACAAACTACCAGGCTGTACGACATGAACGACCATAAAACGTTGATTGGGACGTGCGTACACATTAAGCCGTGACAGACATGAAACACCTGTTCAAAGCAGCGTTACATTGACATCCTCCTCTTTGAAAAATGTTGACATTTACATTAGTGGTTAATTACCGTGTAGTCTGTCATGTTAACCAAGAGTGTCTCACTTGACTGGGTGATAAAATACACATACATTTATAATGGTGGTTAAAAATACAACAAACAAGATTCTTTTCTTTTCGATGGTGATTCACATGTTTATATTTGTTTTGTTTTGAAATTGCGGTTCTATTTTTCGGCAACTGTTTTCGGCCTTGTAATATTTTGATAACGGTTTGATCATATCCAATTTTCAAGGGGGTACTTTCTTTAGCTCAGAAAATCATTACAAGGCTGCAGATTTGGACTCTAAAATAAACTGTAAAAAAAAGACAAAAAAAGTCATATCTCCTGTAAGCCATTAAACGTATTGGAAATGTCAGATACTCCATAACGTTACGTGGTGTTGAAATCGGCTCAACTGCATGAACGTATGTGTAGCTACACGTACAGGTATAGTCTACTGACATAGTAGCCTTGTCCCCTAAATACCTAGCACCATGCGCGTGTGTGTAGCTCCACGTACTGGTATGGTCTACTGAGATAGTAGTCTTGTCCCCTAAATACATAGCGCAAGGCACGTGCGTGTACTACACATACTTGTATAGTCTACTGAGATAGTAGCCTTGTCTTCTAAATACCTAGCACCATGCCCGTGTGTGTAGCTACACGTACTGGTATAGTCTACTGAGATAGAAGTCTTGTTCCCTAAATACCAGCACAATGCACGTGTGTGTAGCTACACATACTGGTATAGTCTACTGAGATAGTAGTCTTGTCTCCTAAATACTTAGCACAATGCACGTGTGTGTAGCTACACATACTGGTATAGTCCCCTGAGATAGTAGCCTTGTCTTCTAAATACCTAGCACTATGCCCGTGTGTGTAGCTACACATACTGGTATAGTCTACTGAGATAGTAGTCTTGTCTCCTAAATACCCAGCACCATGAACGTGTGTGTAGCTACACATACTGGTATAGTCCCCTGAGATAGAAGTCTTGTTCCCTAAATACCCAGCACCATGCACGTGTGTGTAGCTACACATACTGGTATAGTCCCCTGAGATAGAAGTCTTGTTCCCTAAATACCCAGCACCATGCACGTGGGTGCACTACACATACTGGTATAGTCCCTGAGATAGTAGTCTTGTTCCTAAATACCCAGCACCATGCACGTGGGTAGTAGTCACTACACATACTGGTATAGTCCCCTGAGATAGAAGTCTTGTTCCCTAAATACCCAGCACCATGCACGTGGGTGCACTACACATACTGGTATAGTCCCCTGAGATAGAAGTCTTGTTCCCTAAATACCCAGCACCATGCACGTGGGTGTACTACACATACTGGTATAGTCCCCTGAGATAGAAGTCTTGTTCCCTAAATACCCAGCACCATGCACGTGGGTGTACTACACATACTGGTATAGTCCCCTGAGATAGTAGTCTTGTTCCTAAATACCCAGCACCATGCACGTGGGTGTACTACACATACTGGTATAGTCCCCTGAGATAGTAGTCTTGTTCCCTAAATACCCAGCACCATGCACGTGGGTGCACTACACATACTGGTATAGTCCCCTGAGATAGTAGTCTTGTTCCCTAAATACCCAGCACCATGCACGTGGGTGTACTACACATACTGGTATAGTCCCCTGAGATAGAAGTCTTGTTCCCTAAATACCCAGCACCATGCACGTGGGTGTACTACACATACTGGTATAGTCCCCTGAGATAGAAGTCTTGTTCCCTAAATACCCAGCACCATGCACGTGGGTGTACTACACATACTGGTATAGTCCCTGAGATAGAAGTCTTGTTCCCTAAATACCCAGCACCATGCACGTGGGTGCACTACACATACTGGTATAGTCCCCTGAGATAGTAGTCTTGTTCCCTAAATACCCAGCACCACCATGCACGTGGGTGCACTACACATACTGGTATAGTCCCCTGAGATAGAAGTCTTGTTCCCTAAATACCTAGCACCATGCACGTGGGTGTACTACACATACTGGTATAGTCCCCTGAGATAGTAGTCTTGTTCCCTAAATACCCAGCACCATGCACGTGGGTGTACTACACATACTGGTATAGTCCCCTGAGATAGTAGTCTTGTTCCCTAAATACCCAGCACCATGCACGTGGGTGTACTACACATACTGGTATAGTCCCCTGAGATAGAAGTCTTGTTCCCTAAATACCCAGCACCATGCACGTGGGTGCACTACACATACTGGTATAGTCCCCTGAGATAGAAGTCTTGTTCCTAAATACCCAGCACCATGCACGTGGGTGTACTACACATACTGGTATAGTCCCCTGAGATAGTAGTCTTGTTCCCTAAATACCCAGCACCATGCACGTGGGTGTACTACACATACTGGTATAGTCCCCTGAGATAGTAGTCTTGTTCCCTAAATACCCAGCACCATGCACGTGGGTGCACTACACATACTGGTATAGTCCCCTGAGATAGAAGTCTTGTTCCCTAAATACCCAGCACCATGCACGTGGGTGCACTACACATACTGGTATAGTCCCCTGAGATAGAAGTCTTGTCTCCTAAATACCTAGCACCATGCACGTGGGTGTACTACACATACTGGTATAGTCCCCTGAGATAGTAGTCTTGTTCCCTAAATACCCAGCACCATGCACGTGGGTGTACTACACATACTGGTATAGTCCCCTGAGATAGTAGTCTTGTTCCCTAAATACCCAGCACCATGCACGTGGGTGCACTACACATACTGGTATAGTCCCCTGAGATAGAAGTCTTGTTCCCTAAATACCCAGCACCATGCACGTGGGTGCACTACACATACTGGTATAGTCCCTGAGATAGAAGTCTTGTTCCCCTAAATACCTAGCACCATGCACGTGGGTGTACTACACATACTGGTATAGTCCCCTGAGATAGTAGTCTTGTTCCCTAAATACCCAGCACCATGCACGTGGGTGTACTACACATACTGGTATAGTCCCCTGAGATAGAAGTCTTGTTCCCTAAATACCCAGCACCATGCACGTGGGTGCACTACACATACTGGTATAGTCCCCTGAGATAGAAGTCTTGTTCCCTAAATACCTAGCACCATGCACGTGGGTGTACTACACATACTGGTATAGTCCCCTGAGATAGTAGTCTTGTTCCCTAAATACCTAGCACCATGCACGTGGGTGTACTACACATACTGGTATAGTCCCCTGAGATAGAAGTCTTGTTCCCTAAATACCCAGCACCATGCACGTGGGTGTACTACACATACTGGTATAGTCCCCTGAGATAGTAGTCTTGTTCCCTAAATACCCAGCACCATGCACGTGGGTGTACTACACATACTGGTATAGTCCCCTGAGATAGAAGTCTTGTTCCCTAAATACCCAGCACCATGCACGTGGGTGCACTACACATACTGGTATAGTCCCCTGAGATAGAAGTCTTGTTCCCTAAATACCCAGCACCATGCACGTGGGTGCACTACACATACTGGTATAGTCCCCTGAGATAGTAGTCTTGTTCCCTAAATACCCAGCACCATGCACGTGGGTGTACTACACATACTGGTATAGTCCCCTGAGATAGAAGTCTTGTTCCCTAAATACCCAGCACCATGCACGTGGGTGTACTACACATACTGGTATAGTCCCCTGATAGAAGTCTTGTTCCCTAAATACCCAGCACCATGCACGTGGGTGCACTACACATACTGGTATAGTCCCCTGAGATAGAAGTCTTGTTCCCTAAATACCTAGCACCATGCACGTGGGTGTACTACACATACTTGTATAGTCCCCTGAGATAGTAGTCTTGTTCCCTAAATACCCAGCACCATGCACGTGGGTGTACTACACATACTGGTATAGTCCCCTGAGATAGTAGTCTTGTTCCCTAAATACCCAGCACCATGCACGTGGGTGCACTACAC